TTATTTATTTTGTCTGATTTTTTTCTTGGCCGTGTGTAATTTCATATCAATAGTTGTTGTTGTTGTTGTCTTTGCTGTTTTTGGGTATTTAGTTTTATTTTTGGTTGCTGCCTTTGTTAGCGCACTAAGCGGATTTTTTCTTACATCAGTTTAGTGTCACATTAGCGCTGTTGTGAAGTGCGACCCAGGCACTTAACCGTTCCAAATGCCATTCAATTGGCTCTGCTTACGGGGGCGACAGATCACATCAATTCAATTCAGTTCAATTCAGCCCAGATCGGATCAGATCACTTCAGGTATTCCCTCCTGCTTGCTGTCACACAATTGGTGCCACATTTCAATGCACACCACATGTCGAATACATTCAGTAACATCTTATATAGATGGCATATATAACCCCGTCTGATCCGTATCTGTTTGCTGTTGAAGCTGCCTGCAGCGTTTAGCTCAATCCACACTTACATAAAATACTTCAACAGAACGCAACTTATGAATTTCTTGCTGTTTTGTTTGTCTTCTCTTTTAAAACTCATGCTTTTATTTTTTTATGACACTGCGATGCTATCAGTTTTTGTATATTTGCCTTTTTTGCTGCCTTTTGTCCAGATTTCTGATCGTTAAATTCGTCGCAAGGAGCTCGATTCATTCGATGAATCATAAAGTCATACAGGTATTTACAAGTCAGTTCTTAGGATTTTTTTGGTAGTTTGTTTTCGTTTCGAATTATATAGTTAACGCTCCGTCTTGTAAAACAGAACTACCAGAACTGTCAAAACCGATCAAATTTCATCGAATAAGTGGAAAATATAAACATGTTAGTTATATTTTTTGTATTGCAACCAGTTTATTTAAAATAAAATAGTTTTCTTTTTTTTTTCAATAATATTATAAAATATAATTCATTAGTTGTTTGGCTCTCTAGATATAAAATAAGTACCGCATTATATTTGCATTAGAGCGCGCGCTTGCTGATTAAATCAAAGTCGCTCCTAGGTAAGTTTTTCGGCTTCGAGGGGGCGAATCATCATCAGGACGTTTTTCAAGGAATAGCTACGGCCATGCCAATGATGCCAGTAAATGCAGCCGTCTAACTCCAGCTCATTTGAATCCTCCATTTGGCAATCGAAACTAAAGCCGTTCAGGTTGCTTTACGATAGTGAAGAGAAATATGTTAAATATTTTCCATAACAAAAAATGTCGATAATAATACCTGTCAGCGCAGTGGAAATACCACCAACCGCCTTTTAGAGCATTTGCGCAGCTGATTTCCGGAAGCAAATCATTATCCTGATCTTTGGTTGAAAATGAATTTCCTACATGTCCTTTCAAAGAATCGCCAGCATTTCCGCTGTATTGGCCAGTCGACACCAACCGGAATTTGTCGCTCTCACTTCCGATTACGAAATTATCATATCTGGCATAGCGTACTTCGCCACTTTGATCGACAAGCTTAACATAGAGCTCGTGTCTTTGAGAGTTTGTCATTTTATGCAATTTCTGTAGACCTATCCAATATTCACCATCGGCTGACCCGAATCCTTGAGCATATTCTGACCAATTTCTAAAGAAGTCAACACTTCCATCTGTGCGACGCTGTATTACGGTCCACCCTATTCCTGCAGTCACTGAATCGCATGCGACGGAAAAAGGCGCCTCTCCTTCTATTTCTATTGTCTGTACTCGCGCTGGAAGACAACTTTTCGGAAATACATTCGTGGGGCTCTTATGCTAACAATAAATTAATTGAAAGAACATGTTTAATAACATTATAATAACATTTGCTCATGTTGACTACTCACCGCATCACCAGATAATACCGCAATCAAAATTGTGAATAAAGCTGCACATACTTTTAAATGTTTCAACATTATAAAGCGGTCTTCGAATTTCGTTGCCAATTACAGGGAAAAGCCCGACTAATGTGAGGTAGAATTGAACTGCACATCGCTTAATAACCTATTCGTCAGGAAGTGTTATGCTTATTTTATAATAGAAAGTGTTAAAATTGGATTACATTTAATTATATCCGCTTGTGCAACGACTAAAAAAGCTTGTCTGAGCTCTACTTGAAATTTATTCAATTCAATTTAGACACGTCTTAAATTGGGACCCTAATCTTCGGTTACCATCCTACTCCAGCTGGTTGGACCAACCAAGGATCTGAACGTAATTTGGGATAGTTAAGTAAACACTATTGCTAATCAAAGAAAGCATACGGCTATGTACAGGACATAAGTATAATATGTTCTTGTAACTAATACAATTTGTATACCCTAAATCTATTTTAAATGGCATCAATAGCCGAGTGGATCTAGCCATGTCTGTCTGTCGGTCCGTCCGTCAGTCTGTAAGTATGAACGCAAGGATATCAGAACATATAAGAGCTAGAGACTAGACTTGAAGATGTTGGTCCTCCTAGTGCATGCGCAGATTGAGTTTGTTTCCGATCATCGATAACTTACTCAGTTTCCGAGCTATCGATAAAAATCGATATCGACATCCTATTTCGCGCTCAAATTCATTTTCAAGGATCTATATAAAAAATCATTTGAGACGTGTTTCAAATTTTTCGCAGAATCAAAGCATCATCGGTTATAGCGATTTGGGGAATTCCACCCGCAAGTTCGAAAAATTCGCGAAAAACGTTTATATGAAAATTTTAAGCGTATCATCCGATCCACCTCAAACTCAATTTTAAAGTTCTGTGCTTAAATTCATTTTAGGGGTGTTTCACACTTTTTGAAAAGTGTATCCCTTCATGGTGGAAATGGGCGTCAAAGATTTAATGGGTGACGTTTCGCGCTTAAATTAATTTCCATAAAAAAAATCATTTGAGACCTATTTTACATCTTTGTCAGAATCAAAACAATATCGGTAAAAGTCAAATTTTTAATTTTTTTCCGATTTGCTTCAAATTTATTTTTAAACTTATACATGTAAACTTGATGAATACGAGTTTTAACAATTTGGGAAATTCCACCCGCAACAGTGATAAATTAGCGGTCAACGTTTGCATGAAAGTTGTTTGTATACCGTGCGATCAGTTTCAAAATCATTTTCAAAGCTTTTTGAGAACATTTATTTTATACGTGCCACGGCCAATTCGGCCTATACCCGCCAGTATAATATAATTCATTAGTTGTTTGTCTCTCCAGATAAGATATAAGTACCGCAGTTTATTTGCATTAGAGCGCGCGCTTGCTGATTCAATTAAAGTCGCTCCTAGGTGAGTTTTTCGGCTTCAAAAGGGCGAATCATCATCTGCACGCTTTTCAATGAATAGCTACGGCCATGCCAACCATTCCAGTAAATGCAGCCGTCTAACTCCAGGTCATTTGAATCCTCCATTTGGCAATCGAAACTAAAGCCGTTCAGGTTGCTTTACGATAGTGAAGAGAAATATGTTAAATATTTTCCAAGGCAAAACATTTCGATAATAACACCTGTCAGCGCAGTAGAAATACCACCAACCGCCTATTAGAGCTTTTGCGCAGTTCATGTCAGGAAGCGAATCATTATCCTGATCTTTGGTTGAAAATGCACTTCCTATATGTGCATTCAAAGAATCGCCAGCATCTCCGCTGTATTCGCCAGTCGAAACCAACCGGAATTTGTCCTTCTCACTTCCGATTACGAAATTATCATATCTGGCATAGCGTACTTCGTCATTTTGATCGACAAGCTTAACATAGAGCTCGTGCCTTTGAGAGTTTGTCATTTTATGCAATTTCCGTAGACCGATCCAATATTCACCATCGGATGACCCGAATCCTTGAGCATATTCTGACCAATTTCTAAAGAAGTCAACACTTCCATCTGTGCGACGCTGTATTACGGTCCACCCTATGCCTGCAGTCACTGAATCGCATGCGACGAAAAATGGCACCTCTCCTTTTACTTTTATTGATTGTACTCCAGCTGGAAGACAACTTTTCGGAAATACACTCGTGGTACAGTCATACTTAAAATAAATTAATTGAAAAACATGTTAAATAACATTATAATAATAATTGCTCCTGTTGTCTGCTCACCGCATTACTTCCAGATATTACCGCAATCAAAATTGTGAGAAAAGCTGCACATACTTTTAAATGTTGCAACATTATAAAGCGGTCTTCGAATTTCGTTGCCAATTACAGGGAAAAGTCCGAAGAATATTAGGTAGAATTGAACTCCACATCGTTTAAAAACCTATTCGCTAGGAAGTGTTATGCTTATTTTATAATAGAAAGTGCTAAAACTGGATTACATTTAATTATCTCCGCTTATGCAACGACAAAAAAGCTTGTCTAAGTTCTACTTGAAATTTATTCAAATCTGAACAGTTGCAAGTGAGCAGCTGCGACCATGACAGTCGTTTCAGTAGATGCAGTCAGCTAGCTTTAAATTATATTGAACGCCCAAGTCCCAATCAAAATTTTTACTTTTGGATTGCTAAGAAAATAAAGCATTTATGTTAATTATTATAAATGTTATATATGTGTGCTTTCAACATTTTGCTACTGGAACAGTAGTAAAATAATAAGTCGTTTGCCTTAGTACTTTACATTTTATTTATTGGCACGTAGGACATAAGATGAAAAAGTATTGCGGTGGCTGGTAAGCTCTTCGGATATTTAGATAAAGATCTAAGTGTAATTTGGGTGCATATGTACATTTATTTATTTAATTATTTACAACTATGACAGTTTAGTATTATCATATATATTTATAATGTAGTGCTGCTGGGGCCATCGAATATGTATATAAGGATCTGAACGTAATTTGGGATAGTTAAGTAAACACTATAGCTAATCAAAGAAAGCATACTATTTCATAGAATTTTTAAGATGGAATTTTGTATATCGTTAGTATATAGTTACATATAATTAAAAGTGTGTCAATGTAGGGAAAGCAATACATACGTGGAGGTTATGTGATGGAAGTTTATTACTTTATTTATTTCGTCGAGTTTGCCAATGTTGCAAACAATTTATTTAAAAGGAAAATAGTTTTCTTTCGTTTTTTATATTTCCATTAGTTTTTATTAGTTGCTTGGCTCTCGACATATGAAATAAGTACCGCATTTTATTTGCATTAGAGCGCGCGTTTGCTGATTCAATTAAAGTCGCTACTAGGTGGGTTTTTCAGCTTCAAAGGGGCGAATCATCATCTGGACGCTTTTCATGGAATAGCTACGGCCATGCCAATGATTCCAGTAAATGCAGCCGTTTCTCTCCAATTTATTTGATTTCTCCATTTGGCAATCGAAACTAAAGCCGTTCAGGTTGCTTAACGATAGTGAAGAGAAATATGTAAAATATTTTCCATAACAAAAAATGTCGATAGTAATACCTGTCAGCGCAGTGGAAATACCACCACCCGCCTGTTAGAGCTTTTGCGCAGTTGATTTTAGGATGCGAATCATTATCCTCATCTTTGGTTGTAAATGCATTTCCTACATGTCCTTTCAAAGAATTGCCAGCATCTCCGCTGTATTCGCCAGTCGAAACCAACCGGAATTTGTCCTCCTCACTTCCGATTACGAAATTATCATATCTGGCATAGCGTACTTCGCCACTTTGATCGACAAGCTTAACATAGAGCTCGTGTCTTTGAGAGTTTGTCATTTTATGCAATTTCTGTAGACCGATCCAATATTCACCATCGGCTGACCCGAATCCTTGAGCATATTCTGACCAATTTCTAAAGAAGTCAACACTTCCATCTGTGCGACGCTGTATTACGGTCCACCCTATGCCTGCAGACACCGAATCGCATGCGACGGAAAAAGGATCCTCTCCTTCTATTTCTATTGATTGTACTCCAGCTGGAAGACAACTTTTCGGATATACACTCGTGGTACAGTCATACTTAAAATAAATTAATTGAAAAAACATGTTAAATAACATTATAATAATATTTGCTCCTGTTGTCTGCTCACCGCATTACTTCCAGATATTACCGCAATCAAAATTGTGAGAAAAGCTGCACATACTTTTAAATGTTGCAACATTATAAAGCGGTCTTCGAATTTCGTTGCCAATTACAGGGAAAAGTCCGACCAGTATGAGGTAGAATTGAACTGCACATCGCTTAATAACCTATTCTCCAGGAAGTGTTACGCTTATTTTATAATGGAAAGTGTTAAAATTGGATTACATTTAATTATCTCCGCTTATGCAACGACTAAAAAAGCTTGTCTAAGTTCTACTTGAGATTTATTCAAATCAATTAAGACACGTTCTAAGTTACGTAAATATATCATCAATGGGTTATTGAAGGGCGCATCTAATTTGGGCGATTTCTCCTGAAACCTAGTTGTATTAAATAATGCAAGTATTTTTCTTACTATTCCCTTAAGATCAATTTTCATTGATTTTATTTATATATTTATGCATATATATATATATATTTATATATATATATGCATATATATTGTTTTTCTGCGTAACATACGACATAAATATATCTATATACATAGCAACTAAGTCAATAATCGATCTGACAATATATGAAATTTATTGTAAATTGTAAGAAAGAATCATTAACTGAACTTGCAAGTGAGCAGCTGCGACCATGACAGTCGTTTCAGTAGATGCAGTCAGCTAGCTTTAAATTATATTGAACGCCCAAGTCCCAATCAAAATTTTTACTTTTGGATTGCTAAGAAAATAAAGCATTTATGTTAATTATTATAAATGTTATATATGTGTGCTTTCAACATTTTGCTACTGGAACAGAAGTAAAATAATAAGTCGTTTGCCTTAGTACTTTACATTTTATTTATTGGCACGTAGGACATAAGATGAAAAAGTATTGCGGTGGCTGGTAAGCTCTTCGGATATTTAGATAAAGATCTAAGTGTAATTTGGGTGCATATGTACATTTATTTATTTAATTATTTTCTTTTTCTTTTGTTTTTTATATTTCCATTAGTTTTTATTAGTTGCTTGGCTCTCGACATATGAAATAAGTACCGTATTTTATTTGCATTAAAGCGCGCGTTTGCTGATTCAATTAAAGTCGCTACTAGGTGGGGTTTTCAGCTTCAAAGGGGCGAATCATCATCTGGACGCTTTTCATGGAATAGCTACGGCCATGCCAATGATTCCAGTAAATGCAGCCGTTTCTCTCCAATTTATTTGATTTCTCCATTTGGCAATCGAAACTAAAGCCGTTCAGGTTGCTTAACGATAGTGAAGAGAAATATGTTAAATATTTTCCATAACAAAAAATTTCGATAATAATACCTGTCAGCGCAGTGGAAATACCACCAACCGCCTTTCAGAGCTTTTGCGCAGTTGGCTTTCGCATGCGAATCATTATCCTGATCTTTGGTTGAAAATGGTTTTCCTGTATGTTTTCTCAAAGAATCGCCAGCATCTCCGCTGTATTGGCCAGTCGAAACCAACTGGAATTTGTCCTCCTCACTTCCAATTACGAAATTATCATATCTGGCATAGCGGACTTCGTCGTTTTGATCTACAAGCTTAATATAGAGCTCGTTTCTTTGATTGTTTGTCAGTTTATTTAATTTCTGTAGACCCATCCAGTATTCACCATCGGGTGTCCCGAATCCTTCTGCATATTCTGACCAATTTCTAAAGAAGTCAACACTTCCGTCTGTGCGACGCTGTATTACGGTCCACCCTATGCCTGCAGTCTCCGAATCGCATGCGACGGAAAATGGCGCCTCTCCTTCTATTTCTATTGATTGTACTCGCGCAGGAAGACAACTTTGCGACAGTACACATTCACTCTTAAAATAAATCAATCGAAAGAACATGTTAAATAATATTATAATGACATTTCCTCATGTCGACTACTCACCGCATCGCTTCCAGATATTACCGCAATCAAAATTGTTAGTAAAATTGCACATGCTTTTGAATCTTTTAACATTTTAAAGCGGTCTTCGAATTTCGTTGCCAATTACAGGGAAAAGCCCGACTAATGTGAGGTAGAATTGAACTGCACGTCGCTTAATAGCCTATTCGCCAGGAAGTGTTACGCTTATGTTATAATAGAAAATAATAAAAATTAGATTACATTTAATTATCTCCGCTTATGCAACGGCAAAAAAGCTTGTCTAAGTTCTACTTGATATTTATTTAATTTACTTAATACACGTTATAAGTAAAACTTAAAGTGTGCATAGGTTATGTTTTGGTGCGAATATTTAAATAAGTCTTAATTTGATTCAGCAAAAATATAATTGTGGATATATTTTATGTGTGGGCGCTGATAATATGTGTTACTGGGCTATTGTTTTGATAAAAGGCTAGTCTATGATGTTGTAATGGGGAATAGACATGGAGAAGATGTGTTAATAATGTGTGAAGGTGTTTGTTATGCTAATGGCCAAATATTGGAAAATTTTTGTTTTGCATGGAGGTTTATTAATTTTGTGTGTCCAAGACGCAAACGAATTAGCTTTGTTACGTCCAGTTTGCCTATAGCAGGTTTTTGAAAGAAAAATGTCTTGATCATCTTCGGCTAATATAACTAAACAACAATGATGCCTTAAAATACCAAAATTACAAGTACATATTGTGTTGCTTATGAACAAGTCATGCTAACAAGTCAGAGTGTATGCCAAAAATATTCTCTTTTATTGCAACAACAAATATGACCGTGCTATCGAAAACTCTTAAGATATATTGTGAAATGCTCTTCTCTGGTGGAACACACAGCAACAGCTAATGCGGCGATAAGTTAAGGTTAGTTAGCTGTGAATGTGGCCACAAAGGCAATGTATGCCACGAAATAAGAAAACAAAAACAAAAATGATTTATCATAATGGTAGACGGTGGCCTGGGGGCTTCCAACGGCGTTGCCTTAAACGGCCGATAACTGCAACAACAACAACAATGACGCGACGACGCGACGCGGCTGGACCGAAATGTCAACTCTTCATATAAAAATTAACAAAATATAAATTTGAAAAAAAAAACAGATTCAAAACCAGAAATATGCGTTTTTTTTCGGGATGCGTTTCTGTTTTCATTGCCCATCGGGCTTTGTTTTTTTGTTTTGTTTTTCTTGGCAATTTATGTGGCGAGCGTCCCTTTTGGTATCGAGTTACGCCTGCGCCTGTGCGACAATGTTGAGTTTTTGGACTCGGGCACAAATTATGAATTGCCGTTGCCCGTTTTGAAGCTTATCGAGCGAATGCATCGCTGCGTTTAAGTTTTGTTTTTTTCCTCTTCACTTCGTTTTTCTTATAAAATTTTTAATCTATGTCAGCGCATTTTTATCTAATGGCTTCAGCTTCTACCCATCTTCCCATTGATTACTTACACGCACAGCAGGCAGGAATTTGTATCTCCGATTTCAATGCTGACTTATGACATGGTCTCCTATCAGAGCTCAACTCTGCTCCGTTCTGCTTGGCTCTGCTCTGATAGCTTCATAAGCCGCGATAAGACCAAATTCAAGCGCTAATTGCCAGCAGCAAGACCTTATGAGGCGCCGGGCATTTGTCTGTGGGTGCGGGGCGAGCAGTGGCTGGCCGGCCATTGACAGTTTTCCAGGTGGCAGCCGCGCGGTCTTGCTATCAGCCGCTTGTTATCGCCAGACAAATGCATTTTGCAAATTATTAACATACTCCTGGATGTATATGTTTGGATGTGTGTGTGTATCTGTAGCAGTGTGGCTCCTACATGGCCGCAACAGCAAGTCGAACGCGCGGCAACAGATACATTTGTATCTGACGCCAGTAGGCTGCGGTGGAGCGCTAGCTGCCGGTCTCTGGCTGCTCTGTGGCTGTGGCTGTGGCTGTGGCAACGGCAGCAGCTAATTGATGTCAGTGCACAAAACTTGATTTATTTCTATTAATAAATGCCCAAATGCAATTATTTGGCATGCAGGCATACACATCCACATACATGCATAGATATCAGAGTGCCCGCTGAGAAATTTGCTATATGCATGAAAATGGCTATTAATTTTAAAAGAAATTTTGTTATAATTTTTTTTTTTTACATATTTCTTTGTCGTATGATTATAGTAATACTATTTTTGTTAAGTAAAATAATAGATATAACATATAATTTTTGTTTTAATTTAATTCGTTCGGTAGTAGTAGGAATATTGGGATATATAAATAGTAAATAACATTTTATTTGGGTATATTTTTATATTTTTGTTTGTCATATAAAAAAGCAACATTTTATTTTTATTTTTGTTAAATTAAGTAATAATTTTATTATATGTATATATTTTCAAATAATATAAATTTCTCAAATTGATTTCTCTTACTAGAATATAATATATAATTGGGGTCTATAAAAATTAAATGAGATTTTATTACCGGAAATTATTGAAACAAATATATATTCAGTATCCCATGTCTTGCAACTTATAAGCCCAAAAGAGGCTTGACTTGTATATAAATTAAATTTGGAATGAATGAAACACTTTGGAGCTGCTGAAATCAGCCTTATCTTTGGCACAGATTTTTTGAAGCTTATATATGTATATAAACCTACTATATAATCGGGTTTTAAAAGTAGCACGGGTCTATAGATTTTTGATATCGTTGTCGCGTGAGGCTATAAAATATTAAGTCAAAAAACTGATAATCATTTTGAATATTTTTAATATTTTTTACATCTGTTCTGTTGGGTTGGGAGGGCTTTTCATACTTATTATTTTATCATTTTTTATACATATGTATTTATCAATCAATTTGAAGCAGATGCTGATGCTGCATTTTCCACTGGGTCTAAGCGAGGCTGGTCAATAAATCGCTTGTTTGGCCACAATTACATACACGAACAGCAGCCGAAAATGGCCAAAAACTAAAAATGCTGCAACTGCAGCACAGTTGTTACTGATACTGTTGATATTGTTGTTGTATTTTGTTGTTGCTGGCGTAGTAGCTGTTGTTGTTTCGATAAAAATCAGGTAAAAATTTAGTTGCATAAATTTTAACACCGATTTTAATCGACGCCACGTCTCTGGCTTAGACAACTCATTGAGCTGCTAAACGCGCATTTTCTTTATATTTTATTTTCAATTTTATTTATTATTTTTTGCATTTTCTTCTCTACGTCGAAATCGAAATCG